TTTTTGAAGGCCTTCGATTCTCTTGTTGACCGACGCGAGCCTTGCGAGCACTACGACAGACTTTCGCAAAATGGTTTGATTTTCCACAGTTCAGACAAGATTTTCCCTTCGCGGGACAAATATTGTTGTTATGGGGCCAGGGCCCCCCACAATTCCGACACTCTGATGAGGTGTAAAAGTCTTGGCGGTGAAACGATGTATGTTGTTTATCACGATGGTTGTTATGGTTCGTTGTAGGATGGACAGCTTCAACTACTTCGTCAGAAATATGTGTTGAGTCAAGTGCGTTTTCAATGCCGGTTGCCTGCGATTCACTGAGTTCAAAAGCTCTGCCTTTTGCGAGAATCTTGGCTAGCGTAACTTCCTAGTCAAGCAGGGCGTAGCGTCGTAGACGTTTCGATAAACAGTTTTGAATTATGGCCGATTTTACTTCCTTGTCGATATTTTCGAAGTCACAGGTTGCCGCCAGCTTCCTAAGACGAGTTGAAAACTGATCGATTGTTTCATGTGGTTGTTGTTTGGCTTCACGAAACTTAAAAATTTCAAAATCGACATGTTTTTTAGGTGAAAAATACGTATCGAGGGCAGCGATAGCGGAATCATAGTCGTCGTCTTCGCCGATGTCAACAAGGGTATCAAAAATATCCTGAGTCTCTTGGCCAGTTTGGTACAACAAGAGAGCCCGCTTTTTTTGTTTCTTTTCAGTCACATTCAGAGCAACAAGATATGTTTCAAATCGTCGTTTCCACTTTTTCCAGCGCTGACTGAGAGAGTTTGGATCGGACATAGGATCAAATGGCGCCATTGGAGCTACATTGATTCGGCCAGTCGCCATGACTGTATTCGTAAACTAGAGATTTCAAAATCGTTTGTATTGATAAACGATAGCTGTTTTTTTTTTGTTTGTTTACCTCGTCGCCAATGTAATGTTCGTGGTTTTGTATCAATATCAAGCACTTTTAAGTATAACAATAGATATCAAACAACTTGTACAAACAGCATAGTACGTATCCAATTACTTCCCGGTTCCCTAGCCTCGTGCTTTTAAAAATACTTAACTAACTTTCTAGTCACGTGTGTGCTAGTGTCAATAATGTCAACATTGCACCATTAAATTGTGTTATTTTCAATTTAGGAAGTTTAGCTAGAGTTGATCTTGCAGCTTTTTCCATTTCTAGCTTTTTCTCCATCATTCTAAGTTCTGCTTGTAATTTTTCTTCGAGCATTTGCCTCTCTTGAGTCTTGGTCTCGAATTACTTCCCTGTTATGCTGTTCTTCGATTCGTTTTGCGTTTCGTCGCTTATTTTGATGTATATTGCTTGTATTTTAGCCAGAAAATCAGACAGTTTATTCATTTCATTTACCATGGCATATATCTATCTCTTACCTCTTTCTTCCATTGTCGAATTTCCCGTGATGTACTTTTTCCCAGCTCAACTTTCGTCTTTTGAGCGGTCGAAACAAGGCTATATATTTGATCCAAAATCGCCTTTGTACACTTGTTTACTGTTTCAATTTCCCTCAAATCTTGGCTCTTCGGTTTGTTAATTCCAAATCAATACTTTAACTTTTCTACTTCCTTGTTGATTTTATTCTCAATTTGTTGCTCGCTCGCTTGTGCTTCCGAGTCGCTCATCATTTTAACTCTCGCTTATAGTCGTAAATATAGTTGTCAATTTGTTGAAATTCGCCGTAAAATATCACTTGTTTCTCTTGTTTATATCCTGGTCACAGCACCACTATATACCAAAGTTGTCCTCGATCGATATACAAATCCTCACTCGTATTAGTATTAAATATTTGTTATATATGCAAACAATACGAAAATATACAAAAATCACTTGTCTCAAAACCTTGTAAACTTGTCTCTCACCGTCTCTTGTAGAACAAGACGCCTGCTCAGGCGTTCACACTGGCCTGGAAATAACGAGATACGTGCTATGGTGCAAAAGGCAGGAATACAAATCTTAAACCGCAAGCAAATTTTATGGACTTTTTAAAAAAATAAAAGATCTTTTCGGAAGACGCAATGGAGATCGATGCAAGTGCAGATCATGCCGACTTACAGAATCGATTTCCGGTTTTTCCTAACAGCGCATTGTTTTCATGTGCGTTCCATGGGCCGCACTAAAAATATAAATATTCTGTAAATACCGAAATAAAAGATGAAAATCTCAAGACACAAGCTTGAAAATAACACTATAAATTGTGTTTGCGATTCTGGTTCCAATAACATTATCACGAAAAAGATATGTCCAAAGGGCCGAAGTTATGTTCGGCAAAATGTATGGCTAGTTTACATTGTTTGTTGTATTATGAAATATGATACCATACTTGTATTAAAATTCGCGTCGAACTAATGTTATTGTAAATGAGTAGACTTGCCACAAGTCGACCTCGAACGAAATGCGTTTCTTCGAGGTCGACTTGTGGCAAGTCTAGCAAATGAGAACCATACAACCACAAAGCTTTTCGCGCGGATTATATTTCGTGGAGTACTAAATATTATATTTTGTGGTTTTCGAGTCATTACACAAAAAAAACACATTAATTCAACACGCAAGAAAGTCCAGAGTACGACACAACGTAAAATACATAGGAAACCGGCACAATTCTTTGAAAATTCAACGAAACTGTGTAAAATATAGTTTGATCACTCTGTGAAAAGCCGCCATTGCAGTTCGGAATTGTGCGCGTGCGTACAAGTATATAGCTAATAAACGAAAAATGTACCACAAGCATGGCATGAGTCGGCTATTACGTACATATATACGAGCTTATTACTACACTATCTAAATCATGGAACCGAGGGAATCGATGGCATTTTGGCTTAATCGTTGCACCCTGAGCCTGCGATGAGCTAACGCAAACTCGATTTCTCGACTGCGAAAAAAACCCAGAAAAAGGGGTATTTAAGACACTTGGCCTTTACAGGCCAGTGTAATAACAAACTAATTATACCATATATGGTTATGTTCCATGTATTTCTAAATATATCTATTACCGATTGTAGTTAATACTGTTCAGAGTTCATCACACATTGAATATATTCATATACACTGCCCATGCCAAGAAAGCAGAATTAGAATATTTAGCTGACCATTCGATCTTTTGCAAGGTGTTTGATATTCAAATTGCACTTTTCCTACCTCCAGAAAAGGCGTCTTACGGGCTGATTACATGATGGAAGGTGGGATGATTTTTGATGTATTGGAATGCTTGTTAACAGAACTCAAATATTGTAGAGAAGATCTTGTAGTTCAAGAAGATTATAATTACTGCTTGAACAACCTTAATTTCGTTTACAGCTAACTGTAATCTATCTCTAGAAAAATGTTTTTTGCTGAATTGTGCACTGTGACTCTTTGCAAAACATCGCAATCATCCTGGTGAAGCGGGATCGTATAAATAGCCCCTTATTTAGCAAATTGCGCATGGTGCCATCCCTTGGGGGGAGGCAGCATTTTCCTTGCGATAGTAACTTCTAGTTAAATAGCTGTACATATGAATGTGTTTGAGGAAACATGTCTGGACTAATATGAACTTTTGTTGTAGTGCTTCTTCAGACATAAATTTATAACAATATTTATTTTCCATACGTTTCGCCTGTTACGGCTTCTTTACAGTAATATATCCGTCCTATATTATATACAAGTGTTTATTACACTGACCTGAAAGGTCAAGTGTCTCAGATTCCTAATTTTCTGTTTTCTTCGTCGTCGAGAGTTCGAGTTTGCGTTCGATGCAACGATTAAGCCAAAATGCCATCGATTCTTCGATTCCACGATTTATATATTATAGTAACAAGCTGGCCCATGCCATGCTTGTGGTACATTTTTCGTTTATTAGCCCATATATAGACTTGTACGCACGCGCACAATTCCGAACTCCAAGTGTGACATATTCAGTCCAGTTTCAAAATGGCGGCTTTTGGCTGAGTAATCAAAACATATTTCATACAGTTTTGTTGAATTTTCAAAGAGTTTCAGAGCGTCGCACTCTGGACTTTCTTGCGTGTTGAATTAATGTGTTTTTCTTTGTATAACGACTGGAAAACCTCAAAATTTGGACCCAGCGAATTTTAGTATACAATATAGTGGAATATACAATATAGTGGAATACAATTAACAAGGACAAGTTAAAGGTTTGACAGTTTCACTTTTATACGTTGTAGACTCATAAACACCCGTTGTGTACTTGTGTTAATTTTTGTGTCGCACTCTGGACTTTCTTGCGTGTTGAATTAATTTTTTTGCTTTTTGTATTAAAGGACATTGGCAACCAAAATTTTTATTACTTATATCTATTAGGTATACTTACGGAATATTTAATTTCATATTTTGGCCGGTTTGTCGCGTTTAGTTGCTGAGAATTTGATTGAATTTGAGAAAATTTGAACAGTTGTCCGCCATTTTGAAAATAAGCGCGTATGCTAATTTATGCCACAAAATACATTATCTGACGTCATTGGCTGGGTAAACACAATCTCATGACTATAAACAATACCGTGTATTACCACGCGTAGTGCATTTTGAGCCAAAACAAAAGGCAGAAAAGTTTTACCAAGTATGTAACTTGTTTGTAACACTATTTCTCATAGTATATATCCTACTCCGTGTTAAATAAGCGCAGAAATTCGAGTGTAACAAGGCAAATACTAATGCAATATTTTATGATCAATTACCTGCATTGTAAATTGCGCCATTTCTTGCTTTCCCAGTCGCTCGATATGTTTTTATCTGATAGTGTAGACTTCTCTTGTTTGATTGCGAGGAGTGTTGGCCAGTATAACGCTCAAAACGACATATTTTTAGCTAACATAACACGCACGCAATAGAATTCTCTCTTGTAGTTTTGGTGCTACCCAGCCAATGACGTCACAAAGTTCATTGACCTTCGAGATAATTTTTCAAAAATATTTTCCAAGATGGCGGCGAAATTGGCCGAAACACAAAGTTTGCATGCATTTTACTCGTAGACTAAAATGTTCAAGAAGGAAATGATAATATTTTCATAGTTCGGTTGTCAAGTAGGATTGAAATAGCCAATAAAAATTTTCGTTGCCAATGTCCTTTAAGTAATGTACATATGTAATTTTAATCTCAGTATTCTGAAGAAGGCTCGAAGTACCAAGTCGAAAGCTCAATAAAAGTATATTTTAATCCGGAGAACTTTAATTAATTATAATATGCTTGGATTACAAATCTTTGAACATATATATATATATATATATATATATATATATATATATATATATATATATATATATATATATATATATATATATATATATATATATATATAATCTATATAATCTTCTTTATATTTTTAGTTAGTAACCATTCAGCATAGAATAATTTTAGTGTAATTATGTTTTGTGATGCGCATTTGATCATATACTATAACATGTTAATTTGCGCAATATAAATATTAAATATTATTATATATATATATATATATATATATATATATATATATATATATATATATATATATATATATATATATATATATATATATATATATATATATATATATATATATTCATGATACTGTACAACTTGGACTGCCCCAGTCAACTGAGAGATACGTTCAAATTCAGACTTGAGGGATAAGACGCTGCTTGATCTTCCGAAGGTGAACAGTGCAATAGGTCAATCTACTTTCAAGTATGCTGGTGCATGCTAAAGACTGGAACTCTCTACCATTAAACATTAGAGAATTGATATCACTCTCAAAATTTAAACGTACTGTTTACGCGCATCTTTTAGAACTGGACAACAATTCTCATATTTGTAGTATTTAGGATGCATGTTTATATTGTATACATGCAACCGTTGATAATTGTAATCACTGTTCTCCCGTTAACACCAGCAGCATTGCTGATGGGATTTTTAATAGTTTAAATAAAGTATTTATT